GAGAGTGCATGATAGAATTGTGCAAGACCATTGACTTCTTCATTGCAAATACCTTTTTAAAATAACATAAAAGACCATTGTACACATGGACTTAACCAGATAGAACACACGGAAATCAAACAGACTCCATCTGTGGAAAGATACAGTGGAAAAGCTCCATATCATCAGCCAAAACAAGTTCAGGGATAGATTGTGGAACAGACCATCAATTGCATACATGCAAGTTCAAGCTGGAGCTAAAGAAAATTAAAACAAGTTCCATCTGTACATGGAACAAGAGGCAAATATCTTGAATGTATCCCACCTGGATTTAGAGATCTCAAGAACAAATTTGATATATTAGACCAAAAACCAGAAGAATGTGGGATGACATCAAGGACATCATAAAGGAAGAAAGTAAAAGAAGGCAAGCAAAAAAGAAAGATCAGAAGAGACACTAAAACCTGCTCTACAGCATAAAGCTAAAGCATATGGAAAAAAATAAAGAGCTGAACAGAAAAATTCAAAGGGCAGCTCAAGAACACAAACTCAAATATTATAATGAAATGTGCAAAGATCTGGAATTAGAAAACCAAAAAGGAAGAACATACTTAGCATTTCTCAAGCTAAGAGAACTGGAAAAAAAAATACAACCCTCGACTTGCAATACTGAAGAATTCTTCAATATTTTGACAATTCTTCGATGGTCAATGTTCAACTGTTTCAATAAGTAGCATCTAATCAAGAGCCAATGATAACAAAGAACAAGGCTCTGGAATTGGTGGAATACAAACAGAGGCAGCACTAGGGGCACTCACTCATCTATGCCAAGAAATTTCTAAGACAATCACCTGGCCAACTGACTGGAAGATCCATATTTGTACCCCTTCCAAAGAGAGGTGACCTAACAGCATGCAGAAGTCATTGGACAATATCATTTATATCCCATACAAGTAAAATTTTGCTAAAGATTCTTGGAGACCGCAATCACTGAGATGTTGAGCCCCTGTGTCATGGACGAAAATCCTACACGATGGCCCCACTCAGGATGGCTAGCCAGGGACCCTGAGGACCCAAGGAAGTGACCTCCGGACGTCCCAGGTTCATTGGCTTTTACGAACTCACTGTTGGGCTAGCTCTGTATAATTTTCTTTGGTCCTATTATTCATTCTATGCTTCAAACTCCAGTAATTGTAGCTTCTGAGAAAATGGTTTCTTATGTGCCTCTCTTAGTGTCTCCACTGTGTTGGCAGTGCGTAAGGTTCTGGGAACAAATCTCTCTGAGGAACAAACTCTGGCCCCCTGGCAAGCATGGCAAAACTGTTCTTTATCAAGTTATTCAGTTATGTTTGATATTAACTTAATACATGAGCTCTTAGTATTCATGTACAATATTAATATAAAAACCCCTTCTAAAGCCGAGGCTGTAAAAATTTCCCAAAAGTTTGCTGGGTTTACTCAAAGAGACGCTGGAGAAAATTCTCCCAGGGTATTCACCCAAAGTAGATTGGCAAATTCTGGGGTATTGTTCAAGGAATAATAGTGCTGGCCGCCTCAGACTGTCCCCAGGTGCAAACTATTAACCTAGGCGTCCTTCTTCCTCCTGCAAGCCTAGGCCAGGTAGCTGAAACAGCTGGACTCCTTCCAGACCTTTTGAATCCTTTTCTCACCTTTACCCATTCGAGATTAAGTGCTATAGGTATTTAATTAGCCTGGAGAAACCTCGAGTTGCTGCCTCAGGATTTGAACCTAAAAAATAATTTATAACAATTTGCTTGAATTTCTGGAAAATTAAGGATGTTAGATTATTAAGACAATTTGCAACATATGTTTTAGAATTTATTCCTGTAAATCCCTGTTTTGAACGATTAATCACATTTCATTCCTGTACCCTGTCTTAATAATCCCCTTCTTCCTTTGTGTAAAGTCTCTCCCTGAAATAAAAAGGGGGCGCAGACTGAACCCTGTATGCATTACGGTTTGCAGGGCAGTGCATTACTGCCTGCAGGGGTCACGATGCCTGTAGTCCAAGGTCTGCCCACCAGTTTTGCATCCATTCTGGTTTCGGGGTGTCTCTTTGTCTCTCTTGTCACGTCTTTTTGTGTATTCTTTTTCTATCTCTGTCACCGCCAGATCTCCCTACTTCGTGAACCGAACTCCCTGTCGAGGCAGGACCTCGACAAAAGATAATTCAAAGGCGGCTGCAACTATACATTGACAGGGAACTGCCAGGGACTCAGACTGTCTTCAGACAAGGGCATGTAATGAATTGATATCATTGCTGAAGTCAGATGGATGTAGGCTGAAAAAAGAGAGTATTTTAAAAAGATGTTACGCAGTGGGAAACAGGAAAGAAATGAAAACCTTCAATTTCCCCAGAATCTGATTACGACCACGAGGCTTTATCATTCTGTATGCTAATATAGTAGAAATAAAATGCATTCAGTTTAAAAAAAGAAGATGGAAGGAATACACAGAGGCACTGTATCAAAAGGAAACAGCATTCAACTGTTTCAAGAGGTAGCATATGATCAAGGGCCAATGATACTGAAGGAAAAAGTCCAAGGTGCATTGAAGGAATTGGCAAAGAACAAGGTACCAGGAAATGATGGAATAAAAATTGAAAGCTTTCAAGAAAGGTGGCACAGGAGGTACTCAGTCATTTATGCCAAGAAATTTGGAAGACAACTATCTGGCC